TGCAGCAAACTGTGAATCAGGGAGAAGAATGTGACCAGCATTCACACAAATTAAATATTATTTACAGAATGGGACTTCAGCGTTCAACTCGTTAGCCAAGGGATGTTTAGATGCATGAGAGGGCGAGGGGCGGTATTGAGTTACATGTTTAATTTGTTGAAAACGTAATAAATTAAAAAAGAATATCTCTGAGCGCTTGTAGGCGGCAAGATAAGCAACACGTAACGCAAACAGGTCACGGTTTCCGGTCAAGATGATCCTATAGCAGCTGCAAATACGTACGCATTTTAAGATTTCTCGTAGAACAAGAGCAAGGCATCTCTCATACGTACGCAAGATTTCTCGTAGGGCAAGAGCAAGGCATCTCTCATACGTACGCAAGATTTCTCGTAGGGCAAGAGCAAGGCATCTCTCGTACGTAAACAAGATTTCTCGTAGGAAAAGAGCAAGGCATCTCTCATACGTACGCAAGATTTCTCGTAGGGCAAGAGCAAGGCATCTCTCATACGTACGCAAGATTTCTCGTAGGGCAAGAGCAAGGCATCTCTCATACGTACGCACGATTTCTCGTAGGAAAAGAGCAAGGCATCTCTCATACGTACGCACGATTTCTCGTAGGAAAAGAGCAAGGCATCTCTCATACGTACGCAAGACTTCTCGTAGGGAAAGAACACGGCATCTTCCATATTCAAAGCAATATAATAACCATATTTACCAAAAACTCTTGCTCATAATAGTTGCGTATCTAATTTTACTTCCTTATAATTCATCTACCCAATTTATTTCAGGCCGCATTACCTTCATTTTCATTTTTCCTTCACATCGTTCCTTCATTTTTTTCCTTCGATGCTTGAAAAATTAAGCAAACAAGTTCTAAGTAAATAAAATTAACAGTCTATATTAAGCAGCTCTGATTGTCTTAATTTTTTTCCTGATCAACAACTGTGGCGCACATTGCCATGATTATATTCAATACAGAAAAAAACTATAATCATATTACAAAAACTTCAGGCGTAAATCATCATGATTTTCTGCAAGTAATCATAAAAACAAAGTGAAGAACTAGTGTCTTTGTATGCGATGAGAGGAAGGAAGGCTGCGACCGTCTGAGACAGAGAGACGTGTCTGGGACGTGTTAAGGTGTGTTACACGCTTCACCTGCCGTAACACTCTCTCTCTGTACTGGTGGTGTGGTGGTGTGGTGGTGGTGGTGTGGTGGTGGTGGTGTGGTGGTGGTTGTGTGGTGGTGGTGGTGATGAGACTTGTGTTGTCTGTGGTGAGGCTTGTACGTGGTGGTGATAGTGTCTGTGGTGACCATCGTGTGAGTGGTGGTGATGGAATGTGGGGTAGTGGTAAAGTGGAGGTGGTGATGCAATGTGTATTAGTGATGAAATGAGCGGTGGTGATGAGATACTTGGCGGTTATGTGATGATTTGTGGCGATTACGGATGTATGATGGTGATGGAATGTGTGGGTGTGATGGGCGTGTAGATGTGATGAGAAACGCGGTGAACATCATGAGCCGTAAGACTGTGATGAGAGGTGCCTGTGCTGGAATACGCATAAGTGTCGGTAATCTTGTGAGTAGTGGGCATCTTATTTAAACTATGATAATTGCTCATAATTATTGTTAAAGTTATAATTGTTATATTTATCGTTTAGTTATCAGGATCGCTCTGTTGTACATATTGTAGTGAATTTTTTCATTGTAGTGATCGTATATGTTGTTTTAATCATCCCGGTGATGTTGATGGTAGGTGTGGTGATGGTGATGTATTTACTGTGATCGATTATTGGTTGCATGTAGTGTGTGGTTGGTGAGAGGTAGAAGTGGTGAGGCAGGGTGTCTATGTGATGGTGAAGTTCATCATACCCTCACCATCCGGCAAATAAATTAAACGAATCATTTAATACCTCGTGAATTGCATAATTTAATTTTGACGAATTTATTAGAAGGTTCGATTCTATTTAACCAAAATAAATTATGGTAAAAAGGCAAGCAGGAAAAATATATGAGAATTTTTAATAAAAAGTTGTACAAAGGAGCAGGGATCGGTGAGCAGGAGGGAGGCCGTGAGCAGGAGGGAGGCAGTGAGCAGGAGGCAGGCAGTGAGCAGGAGGGAGGCAGTGAGCAGCAGTGAGGCAGTGAGCAGGAGGGAGGCAGTGAGCAGGAGGGAGGCAGTGAGCAGGAGGGAGGCAGTGAGCAGGAGGCAGTGAGCAGGAGGGAGGCAGTGAGCAGGAGG